CAAGATGAGTCCACAGCAAACAAGATCACTCTGCTGGCTGTTGTACTGGATCACACGTTGGACCCTTCCCAAGGGTTAAGGACTGTGTGATGCATCGGCAAATAATGTGTGCAAGATCCCAGTAAGGCGGCCTTCTGCAGCTGGCAAATGGTAATTTTGTCAGTGCCGATTGTGTTTAAGTGCAGGCCAAGGTCTTTAGGCTCTGCACCCAGTGTGCCAATCACCACTGGGACCACCTTGACTGGCTTGTGCCAGAGTCTTTGCAGTTCAATATTTAAATCCTTGTATCGGGTCAGCTTTTCCAGTTGTTTTTCTTCAATCCTGCTGGGTCATGGGCCCCCGGTGGCGCGGTGAGTTAAACCCCTGTGCCGGCAGGACTGAAGACCGATAGGTCGCAGGTTCGAATCCGGGGAGAGGCAGATGTGCTCCCTCTATCAGCTCCAGCTCCTCATGCGGGGACATGAGAGAAGCCTCCCACAAGGATGATAAAAACATCAAAAAATCATCTGGGCATCCCCTGGGCAACGTCCTTGCAGATGGCCAATTCTCACACCAGAAGCAACTTGCAATTTCTCAGGTCGCTCCTGACACGACAAAATAAAATAAAATAGTGCGCTCTGGATTTAAGTGAACTACAACTCCTATAAATCCCTCCAATGTTTTTTGTTGGTCATGAGGGTTCTGTGTGCCAAGTTAGTTCCAGGTCCATCAACAGGGTTCAGAGTGCTCTTAGATTATTATTATTATTATTAAGTTTATTTGTACCCCGCTAGCATCTCCTGAAGGACTCGATGCGGCTTACAAAGGCCAAGGCCTCAATACACAACATAACAATACAAACCTAAAGCAAATTAAAAACAATTAAAGCAATATTAAACAACAAAACAACAAGCAATAAACAATACACCAAAACACAATAAAACTGGCCGGGCCAGAGTAAAGGGTACAGAATTAAAAGTGCTGATGTGACAGGTGATATGTAAGGATTATAGGGTAAGTGCAGTGTGCAGTGTGCGGCAATCTTAGTTCTAATAAAGTGCTTCTGGGACTTGGTATTGGAGATTTCCTATTCTGGGAAGGCACATCGGAACAGCCAGGTCTTCAAGTTCTTTCTGAAGACTGCCAATGTAGGGGCCTGTCTAAGATCTTTGGGGAGGGTGTTCCAGAGTCGGGGGGCCACCACAGAAAAGGCCCTGTCTCGTGTCCCCACCAAGCGCGCTTGCGACGCAGGCGGGATCACGAGCAGGGCCTCTCCAGATGACCGAAGTGAACGCGTGGGTTCGTAGATGGAGATGCGGTCACGCAGGTAGGCTGGTCCCAAACCATTCAGGGCTTTGTAGGTAAGCACCTGCACCTTAAATTGGGCTCGGAAAATAAACGGCAGCCAGTGGAGTTCCTTGAACAGGAGGGTTGACCTCTCTCTGTAAGGAGCGCCAGTTAACATCCTGGCCGCTGCCCGTTGGACCAGTTGAAATTTCCGAGCCGTTTTCAAGGGCAGCCCCACGTAGAGCGCATTACAGTAATCCAATCTAGAGGTGACCAAGGCATGGACCACCCCGGCCAGATCAGCCTTCGCGAGGTACGGTCGCAGTTGGCGCACGAGTCTTAATTGTGCGAAAGCCCTCCCAGACACCGACGCCTGAGCCTCAAGCGTAAGCGATGAATCCAGGAGGACTCCCAAACTGCGGACCTGTGGTTTCAGGGGGAGTGTAACCCCGTCCAGCACAGGTTGCCACCCTATACCCCGGTCAGGTTTACGATCGACCAGGAGGACCTCTGTCTTGTCGGGATTGATCTTCAGCTTGTTCCTCCTCATCCAGATAGACACAGCGGCCAGGCACTCGTCCAGCACCCAAGAGGCCTCCTTGGAATTGGGTGGAAATGAGTAGTAGAGTTGTGTGTCATCTGCGTAGAGGTGGCACCTAACTCCAAAACTCCGGATGACCTCTCCCAGCGGTTTCATGTAGATGTTAAAGAGCATGGGAGACAGAATAGAGCCTTGCGGGACCCCACAGGTCAAAGGCCAGGGGTCCGAGCAGGCGTCTCCCAGCTTCACCATCTGGGATCGACCCTCCAGGAAGGATCGGAGCCACGACAAAACCGTGCCCCCAAGACCCATCCCAGAGAGTCGGCCCAGAAGGATACCATGATCGATGGTATCGAAAGCCGCTGAGATGTCCAAGAGAACCAACAGGTCACACTCCCCCTGTCCAGCTCTCTACGGAGGTCATCCACCAAGGCGACCAAGGCTGTCTCGGTACCATGACCAGGCCTGAAACCAGACTGTGACTGATCTAGGTAGTTGATGTCATCTAAAAAGCCCTGGAGCTGGGAGGCAACCACCCGCTCCAGCACCTTACCCAAAAAAGGGAGATTGGAGATTGGTCTGAAATTGTTCAGCACCGTGGAGTCAAGGGAAGCCTTTTTGAGGAGTGGACGAACCACAGCTTGTTTCAGGTGAGATGGAAAAAACCCCTGCTCCAACGATGCATTAATGATCAACACAAACCAATCAACCAACCCCTCCCTGGCCGATTTAATTAGCCAAGACAGGCAAGGGTCTAGGGCCGACGTGGTTGCTCTCACAGCTCCAAGGACCTCTTCCACGGTCTCAGGAAAAACAAGCCTAAAAGAATCTCACAAAATTGGACAAGCAGATGCCTCAATCACCTCTTCTGGCACTGCGGTGAAATTGGAGATTGCAGATGATCTTATGCCCCAGACCTACAACTCCTATAAATCGTGGTGAATTCTACCCAAAACTCTCTAGTATGTTCAGTTTCTGATCAATTCCTCTGTTTGCTGTGTGACATAGAAAGGGTTAAGGGAGAGGCAGTGGGCAGGGTCATGCAAATTCCACACCAATGGAGAGTTAGAAACACTGGGATTTCTGGTGGAGGAAACATATAACATCTAGGATGAAATTGTCCCTGAATGAAAGCCTTCACTTGGGTAGCGAGCACTATGGTGTTTGTGGAGGACATGTTCATGGCTCTCAGTATAACCTGCAATGTAATTGGTGGGAGGGCCATTGTTGTTTCCTGAGTAGTGGGAACTATAGCTGTTTGTGGAGAAAGGAGCTTGTTCGTGTAAGTGGACACCCCAGCCACACACACAACACACATATTTTCACTTTTATGGCGTGTATAGATACATTGAAAACGAAATTTAGAAAGCTAAGGACCCCGGATACCAAGAGTCCATGCCTGGTGAGCCCAGGCAATGTACAGCAAAGGATGCCAAAATGAACAAGCATAGCCATATTGGTGCAATGATTTTATACAGTAAAAGTTCCGTGCATTAACATTGCCTCTTTTTGAATTTCCCCTCCTCTGCTTGTCCAGGAGGACCCCCAGACTGCAGATCTGTGTCGTCAGGGAGAGTGTTACTCTGTCGAGCACCGGTAACTACCCTATGCCCCAACCATCCTAATGACTGTCCAGAAGGACCTCTGTCTTGTCTGGATTAAGCTTCAGCTTGTCAGCCCTCATCCAGTCTATCACAGTGGCTAGGCACTGGTCCAGGATCTGGGGATCTTCCTTGGTATTTGGTGGAAAGGAGTAATAGAGTTGTGTGTCATCTGGATGATCTCCTACAGCTCTTTCATGTAGATATTAAAAAGCATTGGGGATAGAATGGAACCTTACGGAACCCCACAGGTCAAAAGCCAGGTATCCGAGCGTATGCCCCCCAGCTTCACCAGGCCAGATGAAGGGGCGCAGCTTCCCATCAGCCTTTTTGTTACCATTATCAGCTTCCTACCAGGCCTGAAAGGGGGGCACAGCCTCTTGCCAACCTTCTTCCAGCTAACACCACCTTGTGTCATGAATTCTTTTTGAGCTTTAAAAATGTTCTTTAATCAGTGCTTTGCTTCTAAAGTAGGGGTCCTCAAACTAAGGCCTAGGGGCCAGATAAGGCCCTCCAAGGTTATTTACCCGGCCCTCGCTCAGGGTTAACCTAAGTCTGAAGTGACTTGAAAGCATACAACCATAACAACAAGAATCCTACCGCATCAGCCAAAACTAGGCCCACACTTCCCATTGAAATACGAATAAGTTTATATTTGTTAAAACTGTTCTTCGTTTTAATTACTGTATTATTTTAAAGTGTTTTTGCACTACAAATAAGATATGTGCAGTGTGCATAGGAATTCATTCACGTTTTTTTTCAAATTGTAATCCAGCCCTCCAACAGTTTAAGGGACTGTGATCTGGCCCTTTGTTTAAAAAGTTTGAGGACCCGTGTTCTAAAGTGTTGCTAAAGTTCTGGTGGTGAAAATTTCAGAACTCTAACAAAACTTTCAAAATTTCATTATTATTTCGTTACTGGCGATTTTAATGAGAGAACCAATTAGGAACTGCCATTCATAACGAAATTTTGAAAGTTTTGTTAAGAGTTCTGAGATTTTCACCACCGGAACTTTAGCAACACTTTAGAAGCAAAACACCAGCTTTAGAAAATCTTTAGAAGCAAAGCACCAGCGCCCCCTAGTTTTGTAAGTACTTGTCATATGTTCTGCAGTTGATGGTGGTGGTGATGGAAGGGTTAATATGAGTATTAGTTCTAGAAGGTTTAGTAATCTGTAAGTGGGAGTTCATGGGTGAGAGCAATTAGGGGTGAAGGTGTGCAGGAGATGGGTTGCAGCTGGGTGTTACTGGATTTAAGGAGCTAACCTTGAGATTGATCTTTGGGAGAAAAGTATCTGTTGTATTTTGGTGGTGGATGCTGCTGATTTTTCCCCCAGGTCTGTTGGATTTTCGGTGTCCTGACCTGTCTCCTGTAATCTTGGAATCCTGGAACCTTGAACCTTTGGACTGGCTTTTGAATACGGTATAGACTCTTGATCCCCGGACTTTGTTTATTGAACTCTCGGCATTTGACCACTGGACTGGACCCTTTGACTACGGTTTAGCTTTTGCTGTTAGTTTTTGTTTATTCTGTGGCTGAGTGCTATCTTTGTTTTATATTTTGGTCTATTAAAACAGCCAGCAAGTAAGTGCTGTTTTAATTAAATTGTTTGATAAAACTGGGAGTTTGGCTCATCTCTACCTAAATAAGGCAGAGCCCTGGCAACATGACAGTACTTTAGGAACATTTTAGAACCATGGATTGCCCATGCCTAGTAGACACGCAGACACCAGTTACTGGTTTTATAATATCTATATTGATTACACAGGCAAAGGTGAAGCATCACATTGCCCCCAACATTCACTCACAGCCAACATTCATACTCACCATCCCTTCTCCATTCACACCTGCTGCAGGAAGAAGAGAGGCGGGTGGAGAGACCGTCATCTCTACAGATCTGGCACAAATTGTTTATCACTTTTGTGGATACCCTTGGGAGTCACATGGTATGAGCTGTGAATAGAAAATTTTACACACACCTAACATTTTAATTGCTTCTTTCTTATGTGAATCATCTTATGACGTGCAAGAGATGAACTCTGAGGAAAACATTTCCCACACTCTTGGCAGTTGTATGGTTTCTCTCTTGTGTGAAGTCTCTTGTTGTGCTTCACAAGATATGAATTCTGAGCAAAACACTTCCCACACTCTTGGCACTTGAATGGTTTCTCTCCTGTGTGCAGTTCGTTGTGCTTCACAAGGTATGAACTCTGAGCAAAACATTTCCCACACTCTTGGCATTTGTATGGTTTCATTCCTGCATGAAGTCTGATGTGCTGTGCAAGGGTTGAACTCTGAGCAAAACATTTCCCACACTCTTGGCATTTGTAGGGTTTCTCTTCTGCATGAAGTCTTCTGTTGTGCTTCAGAAGATATGAATCCTGAGCAAAACACTTCCCACACTCCTGGCATTTGTACGGCTTCTCTCCTGTGTGGACTCTCTGGTGAGTTATTAGTTTTTTCCTGTAACCAAAATACATCCCACACTCCTGACATTTGTATGATTTGTCTTCTGTGTGAAGCCTCTTGTGATACGCGAGGGATGAACTGTGAACAAAACTTTTCCCACACTCCTTGCAGTTGTATGGTTTCTCTCCGGAGTGGACCCTGGAGTGATTTAGAAGGTTTTCATTCCGGGCAAAACATTTTCCACACTCTTGACATTCATATACTTTACCTTCTGTATGGAGTACCAGATGCTTTACTAATTGTCGACGGTGAACAAAACATTCCTCACACTCTTGACATTTGTACAGTTTCTCTCCTGTGTGGAGTCCTGTGTGGCTTAGAAAGTGGAGGCTGGGATCAAAGCACGTACCAGATTCCTGGCATTGATATGGACTTTCTCCTATGTGAACTCGCTGGTGGCTAACAAGATGTGCATTCCGAGTAAAACATTTCCCACAGTCCTGGCACTTGTATGGTTTCTCTCCCGTGTGAAGCCTCTGATGGCTCACAAGGTTTGCTTTCTGAGAAAAAGATTTCGCACACTCCTGGCATTTATATGGTTTCTCTCCTGTGTGAGTTCTCTCGTGTCTCCAAAGGCATGACATCTGAGTGAAATGTTTCCCACACTTCAGGCATTTGTGTGGCTTCTCTCCTGTGTGGAGTCTCTGATGGACCACAAGCACCGATTTGCCAGCGAAGTGTTTTCCACACTCGTGACATTTGTGTGTTTTCTTTCCTTTTAGGAATACTCGATGGCTCAGGTGGTTCAATTTCTGATCAAAACGGTTTCCTGAGACTTTAAATGGAATGTGTTTTTTTCCAGCACAGAGTCTCTTATGAAATGCCAGTGCCCTTTTTTGGGCAAAACCTTTCCCACATATGTTACACTTGAAGGCTTTCACCCTGGCATAACTTTCTTCTTCTGTGTGGACTTTCTGGTGTTTCGTAAGGTCCCGTTTGTGTCCAAAACACTTCCCGCACTTGACGCAGACATTTCGTTTCCGACGGTTTTCTGCTGGAAAAATGGGAAGAACATAAAAGTCATCCCTCACTGGACATGGTAAGGACCCTCAGTAAATGGGGAAAGGGCTCAATAGAAACTATCCTAAAAACAAAACAAGCAGAGGGAGTATGATGAGATGTAGTAGTGGCCGCCTTAAGGCCTCACTATCATGACCTTATTTCCTGGTTTTGTGTGAAGCCAGGAAATTAGGCCATGTCTTAGAACTGTCCTGTGTATATTTGAAATCTGGATGAGGGTTGCCATGAAAATGTGAGCAATGCAGGGGAGGGGCCAGGGTGAGGCGTGAAAGAAATAAACTGTCAGTTGGAATTTTGTTGCATTCCCTAATGCAGGCTTTTGCATTAAAGCCTTCCAACTTTGTGAGGTAATTTCTTTGCCAGAAAGCTATAGATCCAGACACCCATGGGGAGAAAGGCGGGGTATTAATAAAAAAAATAACAAATCATCATCATCATCATGTCCTTCTTCCTATTGATACTTTAGGCCCCAGTCTTTTTATGCTTCATGAGATTTCAGGAACTAATAGGTATCTCATCAGTAGTACTGTCTCAGCTGTTCCTTGCTTCCTGGCCTCAGAAGGAAATGAGAACTGTTAACATCATTTAAAGCCTCTGTGAGAGGGTTAGCAAGGTTAGCAAATAAAAGAACATCTGCTTAAAACTGGATTATATGAGTCTCCACTGCCACATAATCTGAGATAAGACTTTTTTCATGTCAGGAGAGACTTGAGAAACTGCAAGTCACTTCTGGTGTGAGAAAATTGGCCATCTGCAAGGACAATGCCCAGGGGATGGCGGAATGTTCTGA